AAAACAGGGTTCGCTCTTTTTTACCCGCCAATGAGAAATGTTACTCACTTCACAAAGTTTAGTGGATAATAAATTCAGTTACCTGATTGGAGCACAGGGTAAATAGCTGCATTATAACGTGAAATAATGACGGGTTTAAACAGCCTTGAATACAAGAATTAGGCATAGCTTATATGTAACTGCAAGAGTATTGAGTTGAACCATCTTGGTAAAACGTGAAGGAGAAACAAAACAAAAGAGAAGATAACAATCGTGAATAACATCCTGAATTAGGAAAACTGTTCAGGTTTCATGATTTAAATGTACTTGAGTATTAATTTATGCGAGAGCCATTAGACTTGGAGGGTGACGAATGTATCGTTTCACGTGGGCGAGTTGGAATGTAGACTTCCCTGACCACCGGTTTCGAATAAGCTCGAGGCCTTTGAGCATAGGCGGATGAAAGATGGGTCTGAATAGAGAAATAAACGCATTCATGTATGTTTTTTAAAGAAAGCTCAATTCTAGCATGTGCTTGCTGATATTACCATTAATTTTCTCGACTGTTTTGAAATTGATGTTACGATAAAGAAACTTTTCGGATAGCTTTGTGTGTGTCATCATTTCGGAGATCGAACCCCGATTTTTAGTGATACAGGTTTACCGCTGAGCTACTTGGAGGGCTCCTTACGTATGTGTTTATCGTTGTCAGAAAACTTAGGCATGCTCAGACTTGTGTTTTAGACAAACAGCCTCTTCGTAAGAAATTCACAATTAGAGGAACCACCCTAATGAGTTGCCAAATGTAACTTCGCAATTTAAGCTGAATATATGTGTAATTTATATATTGCATATATAGTTTATGAATGTCACCACTAATACTCTTTCTAAATTGACAAGTTGGCTGAGAAGTATGCTTGTCGACTTATTAAATGTACTTAATTTATAATCTACCCTTCGTTGTATTAAATTTCGTAGATTTATAAATTGTTTATACAGATTTTTAAATCAACAGGATAATTTATGAAACGTAAATGTAGAAAATAAACATGTAATGAAATAAAACGAAGTGTAAATTTGCCACTTATTGTGCACATTTCATAATTGACACGAACGTTTTAATAAATAAGCAGGCGATTTGATTTAATAAAACAAAGAGGATATTACGTTTGTTTGTTTGTAATTAAGCACAAAGCTACACAATGAGCTCTGCCCACCACGGGTATCGAAACCCGGATTCTAGCGTTGTAAGTCCGCAGACATACCGCTGTGCCACTAGGGGGCGGGATATTATGAAATTGTCATGTATATTTAATAAATCAACAAGTTTATTTCTTAGTTATACTCGTCAGTTTACAAACAATAGTGACGTTTATAAAGTGACAAGTCGATTTATAATTTTCCTGGGTAAAACAAACATGAAAGGACCACGAAGTATGCAATACATACAGTGCACGTATAATTTAGTTTAAATTTCAAACTTGGCGTCTCATATCCTTCAAGAAACGTATTTTTAACAATTAAAAAAAAAAGGTGCAGGAAATATGACTGAGCTGAACACAGTTGTTTAGTTCCATATCCAATTAAAACATTTTACGTAGTTTTGAATTCCCTGTTGTTTCTTTCCTATGCCAGTATCTTAGGAGCATGTTAACAAGTATGATATCGATACAAACCAGTGAACCCGTATTACCGGATGTTTCAAGTTATAATTCATTTTTTACATGCTCTGATGTACTGATTAAAAAGATTATGTCTAGTTAAAAAAAGGGGGATTATGGGTGATAGATGATGTTTTTGATGTAAAAATATTAGTAGCAGGTCGATGGCATCAATGTGTTTTAGATACATCAGAATAATTTCAAAAAACATTTCTCAATGATCCAATTTTACGACAGAAGCCACTTTCAGTACACTGCTGTTTCCAGACGGACGAAGTTTCAGATACAAGCATGTTAACGATGATAGCGTTTCTGGGTCAGCTATGTTAAGGGCATTGTGGGGTGATTTATATACTCCTATTCATTTTGTTGTTGAAGGTTTTAAAGGTACACCAATTTGTCTTTTATAGATTGTTTTGTTATTACTTGTGAAAAACGTTTTGTGTACACACTGTTAACTGGTTATAGTGTTTTGCTTACAACCTTTTGTACTTGTTATTGAACGGTTGTTTTAGCTACACACATATATCATTGTACATAAAGTGTTGACGTATTGTTTGTTTGTTTTTGAATTTCGCGTCAAAGC